TCGCAGCCTGCCTGGATGAGGGCCTGGGCATAGGACAGGGGGCGGTCTGAGCGTTTCCGCTTGCTCAGCCGATGATGCACTGTGTAAGGAACTGGCGGTGGGTCCCGTTGAGGTTCGTGTAGTGCTCCGCTGTTAGGCTCCACGAGGCGCACCCATACAGGAGAGTCTCCACCACTTCAGCCTGGAGTAGCCGCCGGATCTTGAGCTGGCGGTCGGCTCGTCGCCTGTCGTACATCGAAGCACTGTTCCGGCGGTAGCACTTCCACGCTCGGCAGCTGCGGCTCGTGATCTCCCGGTCGGCCTTCCCGTCCGCGGAGATGGTACGTCCGAGGTACACAAACCGATCTGTCTGCTTGTAGCACTGGCCGGCGGCGCTGACCGTGAACGGGCGTTCCTCGATCCCTTTCGGCAGCATGCACATGATCTCCGTCTTTGGCTCCGATACCATCATTCCGAACAGGCCGGCCACGCGCACGATGACCGACATCATCTTCTCGAGACTCTCCGGCGAGCGCGAGACGATGGCCGCGTCGTCAGCGTAGAGCATGGCCCACAAGGCCTCCGCGTCCGTCACCACCGTCGTCTTCTTCCCCGCCGACCTGCCCTTCTTGCCCGTGTACTCCACTTGTGTCCCGATCTTGACCATATCCGCCGTCACCTTGGGGTCCTTGTCGAACTCGGCCACGGCGACCATGAGCATCGCGGCAAAGAACAAGTTGTATATGTACGACGTGGGCTGAAAAAGAAGCAGATGGAGTGGGGAGGAGAGGCATGCAGCCAAACTCTTCTCGCTACCCTGCACGGATGTATCCGTCGTTGAAGGGCAGTGCGCCCCCCTCCAGAGAAACGCGCAGGGTCATCTGATTTTGGGACTCTGGTCGTCGGATGATTACTTGGCTTTGCTTGCTCGTTCCCGTCCTCATCTACATTACGTCCACATGAAACATTGTGGACGTTTCGTTCGTTACCTTGTCTACATACCATAACATGCTGAATTTTTCTGAGCATACAACCCAGAGTCACACTACAACAAGAGTCTAGTAGTGCCAGCGTCTTTGCATTGTCCGACACCACCTCCACTAGTGACGTCGATGTCTATCTATCATTCTATCGACAGACAGCTTTTATTGTAGCTGCGCAAGCGCGTCCCTATGCTATCTCTTCAGTGCATGCTTCCGCCGTGCATGTCACAACGCAATATAGCAGTAGTATTCCCACGCCTTCACGGAGTTGCTCGAAGCCTCGAGACGACCAACTACACCACTTGGTGTGATGTGCGGTTTCACACGCAACAGGAGCGAGATTCTGTGTTGACTCTAGGGATGTTCCGCGGTAAAGACGAATAGTTTCCACGAGTTTTTCAATGAGTGACAAGAAATGGTTCCCAACCTCTGAGAATTCGTACCAACATCCGTGAGGTCACGAGGATCACGAAAATATACTTACCTTCCCATTTGGATGTCGTGGTGATGACTTATTGATGAATTAGTGGCCAAAATTGGGTGAAAATCGCGTCGTGTTGTACATCAGGAATCCGTCGTCAGAATTTCGATCAGGATCGATGCGGCCGTGATACAGCTACGCACTGATATATATGCGCGAAAGCAGGGATAACCTGGAATTACTAGGAATTACACTGAAATATCCCCCCTACCGCAACACTTTCTACATGTTGATTCAATCTCTCCTGACTTCGAATTAGGGTCATTTTGGGGTGGGGATCACAAATATTTTGTTGGAATGTCCCAGTTTTGATTTGCAATGGACTTTCAGCTGCTCAAAAGCTGACAGTAGCTGAGCAATTTCAAAATTCCTGGGATTTTGGATTCTCGGTTCCAACGTCGAGTTTTTGTCTGATCAACTTTCTGAGTGGCTCTACCCCCTCTAAATCGGCCACGCGGAATCGATTGCCGAGGAGAAATGGAGGCGCCGAAATCGGCAACGCGGTGAAAAAAAAAAATCAAGGCGATCCGATCACATTTTTTTTGTTTCTCTTTTTTTATGCTTTTAACCGTCGTTTTAGACATGTATCAAAAAACGGTTTTTCATTCGAGTTTTTCCTCGCTGCGGGAGAGACAATTCGTCTTTACCGCGGAACACCCCTCTAGGCACTCTTGCACTTTTACGATCTTGGAACAGAAGCAAGCGTGATGTGTCGCGGCATATCCTGATGCTCATGTTGTCTCAAGGGAAATGCACACAAATCTTCGGTGATCTGAACTAAACAACTGGAGGAGTCATACACAAAACCGTCCACGCAGCCACGACGCGCACCTCACCCGTGGAAAAGAATTATACTGTATATAGTGAGCATGATATCGAAGCGTGCAAAAAAAAAGCAACTTTAGCCAATGCAAGGCCAAGCAATATGGAACAAGACGTATCACACGTACGTATGCATCCACGATGGTACTTCATTTCTCACGCTCACGACCAAAAAAACAACCCAAAGAAAAGTCAGGCGGCCCGGGTATACAGCTGTATGCCTGTAACAGTATATCCTGCAAAAAGTGCCGCGATACATCAACAGAATACCAACAGACATTCCACCTCACACGAACAACGCGTGTGTGCCACCGACATTCACACGTTAACTACGACAGCACGTCATTCCATCCCGACAAAAAGGCCAAGGTAATGAAACCAACACGCCCCATGACCCCAAGACGCTAGACATCCGAAGCATCGTCCGGCAGCACTCGTAGGGTGCGCAGCACAACATAAATCACACAAATCACGAACCTGGCGTGGAACTACAGCTCGCCAGTTGGTGTTTGGCTAGAGCCTGCTAAGAAACATTGCAAAAAAACAAAAACGAACCCGGCAATAAATTAGAGTGTCTACTACCATAGACAACATGTTCCGTGGAAAACAACAAGCGTTCCAACGAACTCAAGAACGTTGTTCTTGTCGTCTCCACACGAAAACCGTTGGGGTCTCCGTACCTTCGAACACCGATGCCGTCCAGCTGACGCATCGCCTCGCGACGTCACAGACCAACTACGCACAAAAAGCACTCCATGCATACGTGCTTTCAAGAATACAGTGAATAGATGAAAATCTCACCATACATTTCCACGAAATATTCGTTTCAACCAAATGCCTGCGCAAGCCCTTCAAGAGAAACCGGGGATACGATGTATGCATTACAACACTGCCGTGAAAAGTCTTCACATCAGCCCGTTCAGAGACTTGGACGCTTTCTCCCCCAGCATTTCTTCCCACGGACACATCCACCAGTTGTTTGCCTCCCAGACCGGGTAACTATCTGTGTTGACCGGCTTCAACCTCGATCCCACCCAGTCAGCGAACACCACTTCTTCGGCGCGTTTTCGAAGCTCCTTCGCGATCTGCTCGAGAAAAAAGGGAGAGGGACGACGTGCAGCAACACGCCCGACACAGCCGTGTAAGTAGGAACCTCTTGGCTTCCTGCGTGACCTAACCTCCCTCCCCCCCTTTCCGGGTGGTTCGCAAAAACAGTCGTTACGCGGAAAAAGCCGCGAGCAAGACAAGCCGTTCGTTGTGTCGAGTCAAATTCGACTCGAGTTGAAATGAGATTTTTATCAGTTCTACTCTTCCCTTCAAGTCTCTCACAGTAAACCTCGAATCCATAATTTCGTGTAATGGAGTAGTGTTCGTGTACACATGCACACATGCAGGCAGAGGTTTTCCTCAAGAAAAGGAAGGCCATCCAATCGAATCACGCAACGAGCGCACCTTTACGAGAAGTGTGCGTCACCCAAGACACGACAGCTACATCGAGGAAAACGCCCTTTTCATGATAAGAAAAAGCCTACTCAGGGTGGGGTGGGGGGCGACCATTTTGAATGTCGAACAGACCGCACGTATGCATACCACAACACGTGATGCGGGAATGTCAGGCCAAACCACATCCTCAGGCAAAATCCACCAAAACCGCACCCTCAAAAACAAAAAAAGGGGGGAGGGAACGTCATTAGACCGTAAGATCCCCAAATGTTGCAGAGGGCGGGGAAGGCGAGCCTTGCGGAGACAGGCAGACCTGCTGGCCTCAATTGTTGCCGCGCGACAGACCCAAGGCGGCCATCGTACGAGCACTGCGCTCCTCTTTGGGATGGCCTTAACGAGCTTCGCCGCCCAAACTGTTCTCTCCGTCGAGAGTGAGAGCATGCACACCCGAAAACGTTACCCAACAAGGGACAGCGAGAGCAATCCGCGTTTGTCGAAAACGCGCAACTCTTTTACCTCCGGGTACTGGTCGTACAAGTCGTGCTCCTCTCTGGGGTCATCCTTGACGTTGTACAGCAAGTCGCTGACGGGGTAGTCTTCGCTGCCCAACTGGCATAGGTCGATGCAGTCCTGGCACTCCATGTTCCCGACTCCGCAAGAGACTTCGGAGTCGAGCAGGTGGTCACTCTGCATTGGCACATAACAAACGAGAACAATAAAATGCGACGCCAGCATCAACTAAATGATGATAGCTTCGAGGGAGATGAAAAGCACGACTCGAGGTGACAAAGCGACGGTGGGGGGCTGAACGAAGGTCCCCGGAAAAAACAGGGAACAGTAAAATTTTATCGACACGTGGAAATGTCATTGCCCCGTCGCAATACGTATGGCACAAAATAGCTCGCAGGTGGGTGACAGCAGTCGGGATGGTCGGGGTGCATTGTTGGGGGGGGGGAGCGTACTCATTTGTTGCTTGCCGTAGTCATTTGACCATTGACCACGCGTCCCTTTCGAGACGGAGCACCGTTCCTACCCCTACTAGAGACACCACCAACATTTGGGAGCTCTTTACGTTTCTGCCACAAACTACATAAGAATTTCTTGCACATCTTATCCCCGTCCTCTACGGCCTCTTGTGCCCACCATCTTTCCCCAATTACCGCGATCGTTTTTTCGCTGTTGTCTAATTTCCAAACTTGTCCATGTCACACCCTCTCTGTCTCATGTCCTCCTCGAGATCCTCTCTTTCCTTCCTGTACAGCTCACACTCCCCAACTATGTGGGGTCTGCTCTCCTCGGAATTGCCACATGGACATGT